TTTTTTATTCATATTATAAAATTTTAAGTTTTTTAATGAGCCAAAAAGTGTTCAGAGACTTTTGGCGGCCCTCTGTAATAGAAATATAATAAATATTATGTATGTTCTATTTGGCAGATATGGCAGATATGGCAGATTTGGCATATTTGGCATATATGTCATATTTGACAGGTTTATCAATTTTTGCTGGTTTCAACGTTTATAGATTCAACACATAAGATAAACTGATACTATTAGTATCTATTTACTCTTTATGTTTGTAATACTTACAGATGTTAAAACATAAGCATCTATTTTTTTGTAAGCAGTAAGGATGTAGATACAGTTGCTGAAGCTTTAATAATAATCTATAATAAGTATTATCACTGGTCTCTCTTATTATATACTTTCAGAGTATAGTAATATCGAAGCTGAGGGTATTAAAAAAATATTTTTCAGCATGGCTGCTAGTAATCAAAAGTGCCAAGCTCTCCTTTGCATTATTTATGTTATGAGAATGTGGATACAAAAAAATTCATAAAAAAACCTGAGACATCATAATCGCGATAATGCATAAAAGAACAAAAATTGGATATGAAAGTCTTGTTTAAGATGCTATTAATTCTTGTTCTATTCCTTCTATACAAAGTTATATTAAAAGAAATTATGTGAAAAATACTGAGAAATAGGGCTTATATGATATGTAACATTCTCCCCTGCTTTTATAAGTCACTTCAACAATCATTAGAATCTTTTCATAGTGAATTAAAGAAATAACATTTCATTACATAGTTTGATTAGTACATGATGATTTTTATTTAGCTATTTTACCTGCATACTCAACTCAAAACTTTTATATTTTAGGTGCCGTTCACAAAGTCATCAATATTGATTGCAAAAAAAGATCTGAAGCTGAAAGTGTATCCTTTGATTTTCATATCAAGAAAATATCTATGTATAGTATTGATGATGATATTCTCGAAGAAATCTAAAAGTTCCTATTCCTGTTTCAATAATTAATCATTAGAGAAGCCTGTACTGTGATGAATAGACTTAAAAAAGGAAAAAGTACGCTAGGGCTTACTTCGCTCGATTGTTATTGCTTGTTTCGCTATCGATATTTATTGCCCTGTAAGCATATTTTTCACGAATACATGTACAGTCAAATATGACAACGTAATCAAAAAAAAAGGAAGATTCACGCGTCACGTTCGTGTTGACCAAATATTACGACACAAAGGCTTACCTTGATGTGCATCGAAATCTGGTTAGGAGACCAAAAATGTAAAGTTAGTTAATGTGCACCGAATGTTCAAAATTTACCCCGAGATTATAAGTAAAATATCACCCCACGTGTCCGTGAAATATAAGAAGGGGTGAAATAAAATATTTTTCACCCTGAAAACGGAGATGTGGGGTGAAAATTTTGGGGCGATACTGGGGAAGATATATTCAAAAGTTAGAACATACCGTTCTTAAGGAAAGTCTCTTTAATGAAATCAAGTTTTTCATTTGACGTTTTACAAGTATCAAGATAACTAATTGCTTTATCTATAACATCGGAATTTTTATAAAAATAAGAGCGTAGTGTTGTTCTTTCTTTTTCAGTAAAAGCGAGGTTATTAATTATATTGCAAATTTTTGTATCAGACATTTTTGCTTTTATATAAAAAAAAATAAAAAAAAAATTTTTTTAACAGAAAGAGAGACAAGGGAATACGAATTGGTTCTTTTATATATATTCGTTGCATCAAACCTTCATCAAACTTTCATCACGTAAATATACAAAAAGTGATTGTCACGCGTCTCCTGCGTACCCATCAAAAAATGTCCCGAAATTTCACGTGATAAAATTTGTCACCGGTTTCACTTCCCTCCGCGTTTCATTTTTACTAAGTATTATAGGAACTTTAGGATTTTTTCAGTAATTAAAAATCTGTTTCCAACTATACGTCACATTTGCTCCGTGATGCCGGTCATTTCGTGACATTTTTTGATAGGTACGCAGGGAAGTTCTCCAACGGTTGCTGCGCCAAAAACCTGTTGATTGGTCGATTTCGGTAATTACCGCCACACTATGAACCAGTTCCTTTTTAGGCAACAGTAAATATGGTTCATTGTAATAAATACATTAAAATTAAAAAATAAAATACTTTTTAATGATTTTTCACGTTTGATTCATAATCTGATTGATGATGATTATAATATTCGTTTCGTTAATAAAGATGATGCAAAGTCTTCAAGTATACAAATTAGATTTGAAACAGCAGATCCAGACACGGATAAAAATATATTAGAGGATAAAATTGTACGAATTCTTTCCAAAAACAATGGTTTCGCTTTCAGACCTCAAGATTGGTATCGATTAAAGAGAATTGCCGAAGGAAACCCTGATGAGCATAAAGTACATTTTAAACTCCTTAATGGGTTCTTTTGTTATTACTTTGTTTAATTAACCTTATTACTTTATAAATTAGATAGGAGCTTTTGGCGTAGGCTTTTATTCGTTGTTTTCAGTTTGTGAAAACCCATTGTAAGTTGTTATAAAGAAAGTTTTCTTTTTTAATGAGCGAGACTAACCCGTGGTATATTTGAATAGTATTAGTTCGGGTGGACAAGGAATGGCCTTTTATTGGCGTAAAGATCAATTATTTACCAAACTGGGATCAACTGACGATAAAGATCAATATTTTTAATGGATATGAGAGAACCTACAGATGTATGATTTTTTTTTTTTTCTAGAAAATAATTCATATAAAATTTTGATCTTTAACTAACATTTGACGCGTTAATTTATGTTTATTAGTTTCCAAATGTTGAAATTTTACCCAGTTATTGGCTAATTCATTGGTAAACTTATTGTTTAAGTACCTCTTAAGTTTATAATATTCACAACCTCATTGATATTCATT